AACAACGTTACTTATATTCAGCTAAAACGACGTTTTTCACCTATCGAAGGTGTAACAATTAAATCATTGGCATTTCTAAACTTTAATGCCACTTGGTGAGCAAATGAGCCTGCGCGTATAACATCGCAGAACTTCAAAGAAAAACGTCCGGCACGGTTAACTTATACTTATCATATGTAAAATATATGAATGAACTGCTACTAACGACTCATTTCTATAAATATGTTATTGTTCGGTATCCATTGACGGATCTAATTCTTCTAGCTAACATTTCCGTAGTGCACAATAATGCCATAGCCGGTTAACGGTATCGTGATTTTTTATAGATCATAAATTATCGATTGTTGCTTAGAATTCACCAACGGATATAACTCATTTCGACAGTTATCGAGAGCTATTTATTCTTCAGGACAACTCGACTTAAACGCTTTCAACGTTTGCCGTCACGATAACGGCGGTGACAATCAGTTCTTCGAAATATTTGAAGTTAACAGGTTACTATCGCGCGACAGCAAAAGTTCGAACTCGATCCAAGCAATCTTTGATCAAGAGTGGCGCTCTGTGACTAACTCGCGTCTGAATATACGGGTTCCCCTCAGACGGAAACATATCCGAATGCGCAGACGAATTGTATCTGTAGAATATGACTCGTACAAACGCGTGCGAACTACTACTAATTTTAGAAGTGAACGCAGGAGTTTTACGACAAAAGCGTTAGTGTTAGTGTCAATTGTATATACACTGCTAGCGCAGATTTATTAGGCTACTGGTTGTAAATTGTTTGCGCTGGCTGTGCTCCGTCACGACAACATAATCAGCTTATATTTAGAACATTTAAGAATCAAGCAGCGTCAAAATCATAGCCAATTTAACTACGATATTACGTAACAATGCTAAGTTTACGAAGTGATGACATTCGGGTTAACGGTATAACGCATCGAATTCATGAAGACTATTGCGGTAGTAAAATTGTTTATGAGCGGCTATATAACATTGCTTACGCTCGGGACTGTCATAAGAAGGCTGTAATAATGTCTACTACTTACTATCGGATGAAAAGGGCTGGGTCGGATAACCTGAAGTTGACCAAAGGGAAACGCTCCACGTACATTACTACTACGATTATGCCTATCTAGTTCAAAATAAAGTAGGTAAATTCGCCAAGAAAAACCCAATATCAGGTGCAAGCGATCTGCTTTCATCAGTCGCTTACTACATGGGATCCTCAGCGTGGCGAATATCTAATACCTATTTCTTATAAATCGTCCGACGTTGCAGAATAAGTCAGTTTGCCAATTTTGAAAAAAATAAATGCTGAAACAGTAGTTACGCACCCGTGTGTGCAATTCGATTAACAGCCGCACTGGGTCTGACCGACTTACAACAAGCGATCTCCTTGCTGTTTCAAAGGTAAGCAATAAGAGAAATCACTTTTACCATTGAGATGCCGCCCCACGTCTCTCTTTCACCCTCTTTTTCTCTTGCTTCACGCACAAATGGCACAACACACAAAGTACCTCTACTGACGCTATCTGGTTCGGACTCCACCCTGCCCAGTTCATTATGGTCCATTCTGGTAGTTCTAGTACCTTTTGATAGTCTACGAGGCTCACGAAGACATGCTCCTTTTTATCCGAGTAGGCCTCATTGATGGTGCCATCCCTGCCAAACTGGCGTGCAGACGCCATCAAACGCTATCAAGTCTGAGAGCAGCCAATGTAAGTCCTGCTACGCCGCCAGATTGTGGTGTCATGATTTTTCATGAACCCCTTTTCGGCGATCAACTATATTTAGTAGTATAGCCATTCCAGTACGATGGGGCAGTATACATTAATCGACTACGAAGGACATGACTCCACCGCCGACAATTGCCAGAACCACACCGAAGCTCGTGCATTCGCGATCTGTTGCTGGCTGCTCTGTGACGCATGCGGAAGACAATAGACGTTGTCGGTGCTAAATAGAGAATCTGCGTGTATAAATGTATATCGGTCAATATTGTTCTAATTCTAGAATAACAGGAGAACGCTTTTGAGCCTCATACAAAGCACGCTTTTCTTGGCGTTGTCATAGAACGCGACAAATTAACAGTGGGCCGGAACGCAACGCCCTCTAGCAGCTCTGTTTGGAAAGAAGGTCGTCAATCGATCGGCTGAAATGTTCTCGACACGTTATCTCCGACGCAGATCCGTCCCACTCACCACAAAAAATACCATTCTTTCGTTATAGGCAATCGAAGTGGCGAAGTGAGATCTTGAATGGGCGGCTAAGTACATAGTTTAGCAATAGAGATATTATAATTTATCGTTTCATTGACGACCAGAGAAAACATCTATGTGACTACAGCTAGTTTTGAGCCAATAGTCTCAGGCTTGCTAGTTTTGGTTCCTGTCTCGGGATTCTCGAATAATTTACGCATATATTCAGCCACGTTGTCCTGAATATAATACCATGAATAATAATATCTTCATAATACATACAACGTATGCAATAAGAGATCAATAGCTGCATTGGGGTTAACGGGAAGCTTCAAAGTACCCATATACTTCAGGCAAAAAGTTGTTCGTGATCGTAATGGAGCCGAAGGAAGCTTTATTCAAATGTTATGTCAGATAATGATGACAATGGTAAGTTCAGATATCGTTTCACTGGTAGACAAATCGACATTGTAAAACATAGACAATAGAAACATTGCAAGTGTCAAAATCCGTTCTGTAGAGAAGGAAAGCAATGAAAATTCGGAAGCGTCTTACTTAATAGGCCGGCTTTCAAAACTGAATTGCCCAAAAGCTCCACTGTAGCAATGAATCGAAATAAGGCTAGGCAAAAATGAAGTCCTGTGCTACCGTTTAATAGGAAGTAAACGTCATTCGGCCTGATGGAACTTATTGCATTGCAGTTATGGATATCAAAAAGATCATTGAATTGTTTGTATGCACACGTGTTCCATTTATGCGGGCTTTTCTCCTTTTAATTGACAATTGTAGCACACTTTGGCAATGATCTTTTCTGTCGCTCGCCGAAAAAGACTGCAGCTTGTACGGTGGACTCATTGGTTGCTTTGGCACTTCCGTATTCTTCGTCCTTGATCGGAATATACCTAATAATCGATTCTCGTATCGTTTTACTAATACGCCTGTATTTATCCAGAGGTCTGACACATCAGGAACGGTACGCTATCGAAACATGTTTCGCACTCACCTCTTACTTGGCTGGTCGAGCTTTGTCTGCTGTGGGGTCATGCTTCTCAGCCCCAGAGGGGGTTGCTGGGCTCTGTTTTATGAAAGTGGTAAGTTGGCGAGGAATTTCAGGTGACTTCTTTATTCGTTTTAGTACCAGATGTCTAGCACGAACTCATGCACTGACCTCTGGATCTCAACACATGCAGCATTCATATGCTGACTACCGCAGTAAACGAACTCCCTAATCTTTCAGCAAGCTGTCATAATTTTTTTAATGGCTTATAACGAACTTCGACAGGATAACGCGTCACGAACCGTGACGCAAATAGCAAAAAGTCTACGCACCTAGTGAAGTGTCTCAAACTTGTTTTAACAATACACATGATGGTATCGAATATGTTAAACGTATAGAACATTGTTGTTATTCCTACTGCACCAACGATTAAGTTCGACTGTGTCAAATATAATATCGGTATTATCAATAGAGGTAGCGTACGAGAATTATAGTAGAGTGCAATGGCTTTTGGATGACCAAGAAGTGACTTCGTTTACGTTACGAGTGAACTGTGGGGTGCAGCATGCGTTGCTAGCGCTGATAGATTTAATTATTTCCAAAATGGAACATTTCTAGTTTTAACTGTCCTTACTTGATCCCCTTTTATTATTTATTTGTCCTATCAATGTGTACTTAAGACTAGCAGAATCGATCTTGGAGGAAGCGCAGTCCCCCCTGTAAACACATCAATTTAGATCTGTGATTGGCCAACGCGTAATCATGTGACTGCATGAATGATACCAGTCATAGCAGACTGGTGCCGCTCTGGCACCGATTAAACTACCTGGTGGTAGAACCAAGATCAATGAGCTAATTGAAACGGCTTGTGCTGTGGTCTCGGCAAAGTAACTTACGATACATCCGGGTATCGCATAATTCGTGTACCATACGCATTATCTGGCAATTATCATGTATAGAATCATAAAAATGGTCTCACATTTATAATTTAAGGTCACGTGGCAAGTATAGACGCAAAGTTGGTTCCAGATCGATTCTGCTTAGAACGAGATGCTAAACAGACCCAACTCCCAGAGAACCGTGTCCGAAACCCCGCGGGCAAAGCCGTCCCATAAGCACGTATACTACGTTTAACGGGGAGCCGGTGTTAAACTGAACGTATCTTTGTTGGGTTTTTATGCCGCAGGCGTGTGAATACATTCATAGCGACCGATGTCGTTTTTGCATAAAGATACGCCGTATTATGCTGTGGATTTTTTTTTCTCTATATACCTATCAAGCAAAGACGTGAATGTTTTGAACTACGTTTTATCTCTTGCAAAGTGGTTTGCGTTCCGTGCCTATTTTACAGAAAAATGGTTTACAGGGGGAAAGACAGGAGATGTTTGAATAAACTTTACTGAATTTCCTCTTTCTTATTAATCACATGCGACTATACGCCTATTACGCTGCTGTTAAATGAGTGTCATCTTGACAATGGACAGTGGTCACGTATCGTGTGCTTGCTCTAAATATAGTGAGCTGTTTTGGTACGGTGCCCACTAAGGTTCTCCTACGGTTGATCGTCTGGTGCTATTCTTTGAGACAGCTGATGGGCCAATTAAGCGATATTTATATATGGATCGTCACTTTGGGCGGTTCAAATAGATTGTCCCAGCTCTTAATCGTTCTAGCTGCCATAGTTACATTCGGTAATAGAAGAAAAACAACTTGATCGTTTCATCAGAATGTGTGTTACTGACATGGAATGAACAGAACTAGATTTTATTAAACACTCTTCGTCCTTCACATATACCTGTACTTACCGACAGTGCGCAGCAACACCGTATGCAAACCTTCATGTTGCTCGTTCGACGCTTCGATGACTTATCATCGAGAAACAGGTCTGGATTCACGTGCATTACACCCTCGACGTTCCTGTACGAGACGCCAATCGTACGTCGCGCCAGGTTCAGTTCAGTAGACATGTTCCGTACGCCCCGCCATCAGCATATAGAGAGCGCGCCAGTTACACCACGCAGGCACCAGAAGCACCACCAAAGACGAAAATGTCACAGGACCATCCGTAATCGTGATTACAGCCGTCAAGAAACAACAACAACAACAACAACAAAGTAACAGCGTCAGAGCTCACAATGGTCACGTCACTTCAGACTTCACCAGACTACGGGAAATCGAATCACCCGTTCGAATCACGCACTAAGTTCCATTTGATCCGCGGGTACGATCTGTTGTACAATCTCGCTCAATGGGGATGACTAATGTTTGCACAGATAGGATCAAAAATGGTACATATTATCTACGCTGGTAAGCGCTGATATCTTGGCAATTTCTCTTGCCACATCTATCTTTATTATGCGCTTTGTTTTGACGATGCTTATGCGTGATAAAGTTTTTGTTGTGCAACAAGTGTCCGGGGCTATTAGAGTGCTAGTCGGTGCAGCCAGTTACAGGAACATTGCAGGCACTTAACCTAAGTCAGACGTTTAGCTACTCTAGCTGATCGGGTTGGCCTTCAAGCAAAAGGATCGGCGGATTAGTGCCACTGTTACGTTCACTGCTCTGTAAAATGGGTCTCTAGGACTAGTGGTCGCAAGCAACGTACTAAGTTCGTCGCGGCGCCATCAAGAGCTGTCATTAATCAGATGATATTTTGCTCTCTCTAGCATTTCAATCGCTCTTTTCTAACTCTGTCAACCCTTGCACCTAACCAGAGCTCCTGTAGGAGGTGTAATTCAACTCACAATTGTCAGTGGAATACATCTAGACCTGTTTTATTCAAACAAAACAAGCAAACATAAAATAAATATCGATAACGCTTTGCGTACACAAAACACCGATCGTATCCAACTATCGAACTCTTCAAAGTTCAGTAATCCAAGTTAGTAGTAAAATACAGAAAAATTCGAAAGATCACATATTAACACTGATAACTGCAGTGCTTAACCGTTCCTTGCGAGCGCATTGCATATCAGAGTGCTGCTGCCTCCCGTCCGTCCGCCGTGCGGGTGCGGGTCCCGGTCAACTATCGACAGTCGCAATGTTTTGTAGCGCGTAGCAGCTTTACGGCTCTAGAGAACAAATGATGTCCTGGCGGCTTCACGCTTTAACCAATACAGGCCACCCTCTCCCCAATGGCGGCGATCGTGCCGGTGGCAGCAGTAAGCGAAGGCAGCGGTGTTTGTAGAGACATCACAGCGGCAGCCACAGCTGTAGCAAACCACCCTAACCATCATTACAACCGGCTGACAGAGCATAGTTCATGGAGAGAACCATCAGTTAATGGCCCGACACTTGCACCACCGGCAGCAAAGCAGCCGATGCTGCTGCCGTTAGCCGTAGGCCTACATTCGCCCGGGGTGAAGCTCTTTATGGTTCGCTGCCACTGTTTCCTCCACCGTGTATGTATTATAGCAGGCATTTGAGAAAGAGTAGCCATATAACCCAACAGACAAACATTTCGTCACACACATATATATCATATATATATATATATATATAGCACATGAACGTGTCGTTGGGCTTTCCTGTTCCTTATGTTAGTGCTGTTTCACCTCGTGTGAGAAACTTGTAACGAACTTTGTTCGAACTCTCCACTTTCTGTAATTGAGCTTAACTCATTGTTTCTTTTGCTTGAAGACTATTATAACCTGGGAGAGCTGTAGTGGTCTTCTGACTGGTTTGCGACGTAATCAGCCGGGCTCATTAGTAGTGACACTATAAAAATGACTATGCAGTCTGGGCCGTAATTTAAACTTGTACTGCTCACCGTCTATGTTAAAACGTGGGTTAATCTTTGCGCTGTAGATTACGTCACGGATCTCCGCAAAGTCTGATCATGTTTGTCAAGGAACCGCGTCGTGAGTTCAGTTCTGCCCCAGAGAAGGGTACCGCAACATCGTCAGTTTCATATTTTTGATGTATCGGTGCTTTTGGACATTTTTTACCATTACATTCTGTTACAATATCCGTTTGAAGAGAAGACGGTCGTACCGTATTATTTAGATGTGCCGTTTATAGAACGCTAGCATTGTTTGAGCTAAGAAATAGTCAATCGGGTTGCCAAAGAGTCTAATCATGCGGAAATTGAAGGTAGTTAATTATGTATGCGCTATCTGCTACAGACAGAACAACAAAGAAGGACTGCTATTTATGTTTTGTGAAGACAGAAGACATCTTCGCGGTGAGATTTTGAAAATGCCTTCATAGGAGGTTGCCATGCTTTGAGATCTACGATTTCAGGACGAGGAGCTTAAAGCCTGCTGCCTTTACCAGCACTTGTAACCCTCTCATTCTACGCAGGCTCGTTACAAATCCATTTGACAATTATAACAATATTCCAGTTCTGTTATTAGATTCGAACAGATAATGGGCAGATGTTCGTATCGCCCTTTATATTGTAGGCAAGATAGATTCTTGAGCTCACTAAATTAGTTATAGCCTTTCTTCGCATTCGGACTTACATTAAGCAAATGACGCAAACCATCACGCCTGTTACCTGCATCCCATGAGACAAAGTGTTAACCCATAAGTCAACAAAAAAAAACAAATTCAGTTAATTGCCATCCGAATTTAGTGTATTATATTTAATTAAAACGAATCAGTGCAATACAACAATCGAAAGTTACACTTTCAATTCGGTCCTGTTTAAGGACTGATGTGCGTCGTTCAGATAGGTTCTAGATGTAGGACCGCATAATTGCCTTATGAAATAATTAAGTAACGTTGGAACGTAGCAATGACTTCACACGTGCTACCCATCACATACTGCGTATAACAAATCCGAATGTTGTAATGATTTGGCTACCAAAATAAAGATACCTAGGTATAAATAAAATAATAGCTACGGTGACGTACGTCGAATTTTTTCCGCGATCAGCCGCTGATCCTCACATGGCTATGCCTCTTGGGCAATTGCACAACATAGGAAACAGATACCATGTAAAACGCTCGACGCGCCGTGGAGAAGGTATTCCAGCATCGTGACGATACAGTCGCACGTTTGCACGCAACAGCACGCACACCCCTCTTCACTGTCGGCCATTTTTTTATACGTAGACAATGGGACCCAAAGGTTGACCACAAAAGTAACTACCTATCTTACGTAGTATTATTGGCAATTCACTTTACTTCACATTTAGGCGCAAAACAAGGTAGCTACTAGTCGACCGTAGACAGTGTACGAGCTACAGTGTGGTTAAATTAATCTGACTTTGTCAGTAATAATGGCACCGCTCTGGTAATGACAACTTTAGGAGTAAGTGCTGCGCTTGTTTACGATACGGGCAGGCAGAGCAAAGCACAGATGACGATGAATTTAAGAACGTCTTTGAAACACACGTATGGGGAACGTCTGCACACTTTTTGAATACGATCACACACATCCACCTGTAAAATGTGCTTGTGCTGAGGGCAATGTATCAGTGATGAGGGCAATGATTTCGTGGATGGGGCACATAAACTTCTGAGGGAAACTGAGATAAAACAAGCCCAAATCTACAATCGAGAATATCATACGAAGTCGGAATACGTTATAATATATGTTCACACGTATTTTTGTTCCGGTACAATAAACAGTCGTCTATGTGCTGAAATGGGGGGTGCAGCTTTGTGAACGCGGCTCTAAACGGAGCTAAACGCGATAAGTTAACATCGTTCAAACAAGCAAGTTGAAGTCAACTGACTTAACAAACGGCGACGCCTGGCTAGCCGGAATTCATTATAAAGTCTCTACTGAATTCCATGAATTCGTGGTGACACAAAGTGACTGTTTATGGCTCGCTCTAACGTAGTTTTTTGACCAATTAGGGGTAAACATACACCGGGCAAGTATAATTAGCTAAATAGGAAGAGCTATGCTTGTCTCATGTCTTGCTAAGATCAAAAGTCGATTAGTGAAACGATAGTTTTTAAGAGACTTTTACTTCAACGTTTCTCAAATCAAAGGCTAGGTGACTTTTTAAGTAAGCGGTAGCCAGAGTCCACCGAAGCTGTTCGTCGTTAAGAGCTACACAAACATATCGAGTTAACAAATGATCGATTTCAGAATTTGCTGAGCACCGGCCAAGACCAATTCGCGAACGTCACTTCGTTGAAACGTGCGTGTTTATCTTTGCAAAAGCCTCTGGGTTGGGTGATTTACGCTCCTTTGTTTGTATCTGGGTCTGCCTTCTATTACACTTCCGCCAATTACAGCGGCTAGTTCAGTTGCTAGTGGTGAGCGCGATCCCTCCCGTCGTTTGCGCGCGAGCTCTTGCCACTTGGTCAGTGAGTTGTCACTAATATTTATCTTATGGTGATGATGACTGCGATGACCATGATGATAATTTCGTCTGCTGTTCGAGTAGGGCGAGTCAGTTCTTTGGCGTGTGCTGTTCAATCGACCGACGTAAGAGCCCGGCGATTGGATATGTCGGCCTTTGTGTCCTTGTTAAGTAAGTGCCGCCGTTGTGGCTGCTGTAGCCATCACCACCACTATCAATAACTCTACTGCGACTCGACGTGATATGTGGCACCTGCGCTCGCGGAAGCGACTCAAATAGTCGCGTTTCCAATAGCCGTTGATAGCTATGGTGGGATCGTCTCTAGCGAACTGGCCGCGGCGTTGAATACAAATGGGAGAGGGAACGATTTTCAAAAAGCCGAAACTAGCACGAAGGCTGAGCAAAGGTAACAAAGAAGTAAAGTTCTCACGCCATTAATATCGAATAGAGACACTCGCACATATGCTTACATTCGCATATACTACAAGAGATCAGAGAGGGGTGTGAATATCTCAAGGATGATAAGAAGAATCGATGTGAAGAAGGATCGTTATGCTTGTGGTTGTTGCCGTGCTTCGTGCCGGCATTAATAACAATAATGTGGCAAAAGACGATTCCATTATGGAATTCGTGCTTTGAAATGAACGCGGTACAGGTTAATGAAGTCATCACTGATTCGTACGTACCGATCGTCTAGCTAACACTTAAGATTCAATTGTGTAGTGAAGATTTTTTCGTTTTAGAGTTTGGGTTTGGCAGCTTCAAAGGCGATACGTCGAAGATAATGAAATAGCTTGTCGGGGTCAAGTTGAATATCCGTCTTTGGCTGTGTCAGTGGTCAATGCAGAATAGAATATTAGGAAGACACCATGATGATATTTTATAATCCAAACAATCATTTGGATAGTATGGATCATTTAAACGGCCCTTTTTATTAGAACTTCCCTCGTAACACGTATGCTAAATCAGTTCCCTGTTCTTAGGTAGAGCTTCGTTTTATACCAAGATCCCATCTTGCATCTTTGTGGGTAGTTATCATCTGAAAACTTAATCAGAACGTTCTCATTTGTCACCATGCCATTGCTCGACTGAACCGAAACAAATTCATAGCCCCTGCATATCTTCACAAACGACTAATACCTTTCCTTATTTGACAAATCGGTAAATAATTAATTTTAAGAAACGAACACAATAAATGTTAAAGTATAACAACACGTAATATGTATTTAGTTTTGCTAATATATAATAACAGAAGTTCCTCGTTTATCTTCGATTGAATACGGAGCATGTAGTTACGCAAGTTAGTAGTAAGCAACCTAGTTAGAACCAGCAACAGAGTTTTCCAGCGGAACCTTTTCTGTTAAAAAGCCTTCGTTACCTTTTGCGCTAAAGGGCCAACTAATCGTGGAACGAACAATCCCTTAGTATGCTATCATTTGTAATACATCGTGCGATACAACGCAACCTCTCCTCGCCGCTGCTGATAACCTTTAGATTACTCGGAAATGTAAACTTTCACTGGCTGAATGATCAGCGGTTGGCGGACTGAGAAATATAGTTTCGGGTCGTTCAAAATTTCATGTAGGACTTGTAAGTAGCTGTTGCCTTTTGTGATTGTTATCTCGTATATAGGGGGGACTGCGAGGCGTTGCTGTCTATTCTGTAGAAGCCCACCGAGAACGCATATGACACACTACGTGTCAACGAAGAAAGTTATATACCTCATACTATATTCTCTTGTGTGGACTACAGACATGAGAGACTAGTAACTGGGGATCATCATCCACGACTGAGATTGATGACCGAGGGCTATCGTGAGCGACGTTCGTAGGCGGTGATGCCTATGAATCTGCTTGTATCACTCACATTCGTTACTTCCGAGCAATGAGTTCTTAAGCGGAACAAGGGACAGGCACGAATTGGCAAGACACATCCGCATGCATACGTACATATAGCAATATAGTAATCCTTCATTGCTTCCCGTTTTTTGTTTCTTTTCGACAGCAAGCGACGGAAGCTGACATTATTGTCAAGTGTAGGATGGAATCATTTTGCTTCTAAACAGTGACAACTTCTCAGAAAAAGTTGGTGAATTGGCTCGGTTCTTAGTAGTAGAACAAAGAAAGTAAACATGCACAAATCCGATGAAAGGGTCTGGGAACGGGCTAGCCGATGAGTACAGGGGGCAATTCAAGGACGCTGTAGCCCCCACGGCAGATTGAATAGTTTGACCGACTAAACGACTGGTGACGTGGTTACTGCTAGCGTGAGGGGGCGCATTCAAGAGGGCTGATTTTAATCTCTAGCCAAATCAACGCGTTTCGGTTTCTATGAATATTACGCAATGTATAAGAATGAACGAGACATAGGAAGGAATACCCGTACGACATAGGAAGAAAAGAATGATAACACAAATGTCGAGCTAAGTATTAGGTAAACGAATGAAGCTTGCTTCTCTACCTCGTTATTCCATCCAGCCTTGCTGACAACTTTCAATGTCACAACAGTGCAAGACATCGGGGGACATTGGCAGTGCTAGCAGGATGTATTGGTACTATACAGTTATTCGAGGAAAAACATTCTCTGTTGATGTGGGGCTCGGTAGCGGAAAACGGAAGGACCTGCGACGAGCATAGACGTATCGTCTGCTTATTATATTCCATGCAAAAACACCCTACGTTGCACTAGTGCTGATCACCGTTCACGGCAGTGGCTGCTATCGTTCATTTACCCAGTAAGTCACGTGAATTTTTTGTCGGTGGGATTGATGACAAATCGAGGCCCTTCCAAGAGAGTTAAAGCAATGGCCGTTATAGTGAACCAACTCTAATAGTTCGAGTGAGTAGTTGTGACACTGCGTCAAACAAAGCCGGAAGCGCTTTGTGTTTGTTGTTACTATTGTCATACGAGTCTTCTATTTGATAGGAATTGTTTAATAAAATAGATGGGAATCAATCCTTTAGGCGACCTTTTTTTGGTAAACCGCAACGCTAGACTCCGAGTTCAAGAGGAAGCAAGCGATGAGAAAGTCACGATAATGAAATACTCAATATAATCTATACCGTACCATGTCAATATATATAACTATTGGAAATTCGTCGACACACGTAAAACGATCGAAATAACTGAGCGGAATAAAGAAAAAAAATCCAGTGTTGATTAAAGGACCTACACTAAGTTTCATGAGAACATTTCGTTTGGACCCAACCTGAAACCATTTAAATGCACCATCGGATGTACTTCTGCAATCGTGCCTATACAGTGGGCATTGTGTAGATCCATGGGTCATAAACCATGATGCTCCTACTCCGATGGAAATGAACGGAAAAGAAATTGATCTAATATACAAACTCTTAAAAAAAAGAGTTCAATGTGTGAGCCGTCCGTACAGTTATTCTTTGTTTTGTAAACGTCCATCGCCCTTAGTACCCCTTGTAGCCACGTTAGAGTCTCTACTAAGCATATTGGTACCGTTTTGAACACTAACATGCCAGACATGTCGTGATTGTTCCATACATTTAACTCGTTCATCTGAGCAGTTAGCTTGGGCTGGCCACTGAAATGGTAACGTTATGAAAAGG